AAGCACAGTCCGAAGCCTCACACAGCCCTAATGATCAAGTAAAGGCCTCTCTATCATTCCTAACAATGGCCTACCTCAGAAAGAAATACCAAAGGTTCATCTCGATAACCTAGTCTGGTATAGACAAATACAGGCAGAGCATAATTATGGGATGTCATAGAGGAGATCCTCATGGATTCATTGACCCTAAATTGTGAGAAGCGTAATATGTTTTCACTGTTTCCAAGAGATTTCTTAACGCCAATGGAAGGGTACAAAGCTTCACTGCTATCCCAAAGCCAGGAAAGTTCATTGTTCCTCAAAACTTCACTCTCTGGGCAAGAACCAGTGTAGTTCTGGTCATAGAAATTATAATTGTGACAATCAGGATATAAATAATATCCCCAGAGGCCTAGGGGTCTGCTTTTAATTCCTAACTCAATTGTTGCCTTCATGAAAGCCTTTGCACTTTCTTCAAAGGAAAGTTTGGCCAAATGTTCAATGTCATTTGCTGAAATATTTCCTTGCATTTCAGAAATGAGTTTTCTTGACTTTCGTCTGTAAACATCTTTTGTATTCCAGTTGCGAGCCCACTGAGGCCTCCAGTATTCCCAGTCTATAACAGCTAATCCACTGAAGTTCTCAGCCGGAATGTAATAGTTAATATCTTGGCCAGCTTTTTCCAGATGAGTTTGCAAGCTGAAGTTTTGGGGTAGGCCACCATTAACAGGGATTTCCTGTGATGTGTACCAGGGGTAATAGCCCAATCTGTTGAAATAAAATATGGTCACATTCTGCCCTCTTGCCCTGGCTAATGGGCTTCCAATCACGTGGAACATTCTCAAATTCAGCATCACGTTGTATCTTAGAGAGCACAGATCAGTGGGAGCATTCCAGGCAGCTATAAAAGGCTTTCTCTGGAAGATTGGTGGTCGTGCTTGTTTCACTGCAGAAGAGGAAGTCCACAGAAGTGTAATCAGTAGCCATGCTGTGAGCTGAGCCAGTTGAACAATGTGTAATAGTAACAAATTTTCCAATAACAGTCTCATGATGTAAGAGGCTACAATAAATATATCTCCTGGTTGATTTAGGTCTGTAAAACATAAGAGAAGAGGCATTATTATTTGTTCTTCATAAGGTCTTACCATTGTTTGTTGGATCTAAGGCATCTACTACAATCGCACTATATGAAAGCCAAAATTTAAGCAGTACTTTTAACATATATGTTAAAGACAATAGACCAAATTCTCAACTGATGTAAATCAGTGTAGCATCATGGGAGTCAATGAAATTATTGCATAGAGCAGCAGCTCTAACTCTGGGTCACTGAGCCACATCCTAGTCTCACTGAAATCAGTAGGAGTGTTGCTGTTATTTCACTGGTTGTCCTAGTGTCCTTGGCCAGTTCCAAAAAAAGGCGGAATGCACCTAAAAGCAAATTGAGATGGATTTTATGCATCTTATTCCAACATTGCACTCCCAAGCCTCCCCTCCTCTTCCCCACCCCCATTGGCCACCTGGAAATGCTTAAAACTTACTAATGCCTTCTTGTTTGGCCTGACAGTTCCCTGTGCACCTACAGTCACCATTCTGCTCATACCTAGAAGTGCCCTAGTCTGAACCTTGCCCCTGCCTAAGTCTCATTAAGAACCAGAAACTAGGCAGAGCAGTACCCAAGTCCTCTGAGGGGCCTGATCCTGTCGGCATGCTCTGAGCACATCACATCACATCACATCACATCACATCACATCACACACACACACACACACACAGGATCAGGCACTTGCAACTTCTTTGTTATAGTGCAATTGCTAAAGTAGGAGAAGGTGCAACTGCCGAATCTTTTCAAGATAAACTAGTGATTAGAACTTTCCATTTCTGATTTTCCCTAGTAGTCAGAGCACTTGTCTAGGAAGACATTTGGGGTTTGGTCTCTTCTCCCAGGATTACTACCAATAACTAATCCCACTTGAATGTCTGTTTAATGTGTAAAATGCATAAACAGTCTTGGGGGCAGGAACCAGAACCTTTGTCTCCACACTCCCACCTGCATCCCCTGACCACTAGGGTAGGAAGCCATGGTCTTTCTTGCTTGTTCTTCTTCTGCCCCCATGATGCTTACATTCCTTTCTGCCCAGTGACATAGCTTTAACAAGATGAGTAGAGAGTAGACATAGACATTTGGGCTGGAAGGGACCCCAGAGAATCATCA